AGTCACAAGCTAATTCATTGCTAATTGTTGAATGATACTTTTTATAAAAAAGTATCCAGAGATGCCCCAGGAGCCACATAGCTTCCTTAGCTTCTTATGTGTTCAAAAATTGATAGAGTCGCCACCTTAATGTTTGAAGCAGCACGACTTGGGTTCATCTGTGGAGTACTTGAACTTAGGAAAGCTTGGGGTTTTTTCCACTTAGGAAAAAGATGTATTTTAGTTAAAACAAAACTGAAAATAAACGTTTTCTCCAGAGCATCTGCTTCAGGTTTGTGTTAGACTTTGTCAGCATGTAGTGTAGCAGGGTGTGATTTTCATACCTAATTGGATTAGTAGAAAGCAGAACAACTGGTGCATCTCTGTGCATCTGCACAGGAAGGAGCAGTGATAAGCTGTCTCACCCAGGCAGTGTGCAGGCTGGGGAAGTGGAGACCGTTATCTTGTCTACAACCACTTTCCATATCCTGAAATCAAATTTGCAGAACAAACAGCAGTTGGGCTATGCTTCATATTTCATTAGGTACGCGCATCCTCACAAAATTATTTTTATTAGACCACGCAGAGATCCTTCTGACATTTGCTTTTGTGTGCTTATAGAGTAATCAAAAATGTTAGTAGATATGTAATCTTAGTCCTGATATGGGTCTGTTTGACATGCAGGAGTATATTTTTGAAGCACACTTTCCAGACTTAAATGCACTTTTGTTAAGCATCACAGGAAGGCAAACAGTTTTCTGTCATCGTCCACTTGCCCTTCTTCTGAAGCAAGGAGGGGAAAAATACCCCAAGTGTTTCAGTGTTGTGTTTCACAGAGGTTTCATCTGTATCATCTTTGTTGGAAGAGTTGGTAGTTGGCATCAATTTGGATCAAAAGAACTGCAGTTAGGAAGGCCATGAGGAAGGTTCCATATTATTTCTCCAGAGCATTCTCACTGCTGAAGAGTTGTTTCTTGAGGCATGTAGCTCTATTGAGAAAGGCGTCTTCTGGGAACAAAAGTTTTATTTCTGAAGCAGGGTTTTATATCAATTTAAGTATTAAATTATTTGTATAGATATCATCTACACAATAAAGTGGCTGATCACAAGATATGTAAAAACTTTAGTATGTAAGTCAATATAAAATCGTATTGGCTTGGATTTTATAAGAATGTGCACAGATTCTGGTGATTTAATTAACATTAATAGAATGGACTATCTTTGAATGAGTTCTTAACAGTACAGGTCCATTCTAGTTTATGCATTTTCATTAATAAACAATTTCTGCTGAATAACAGTAACATTTAGATTGTTATTTAGATATTAATGTAATCATCTCAATATGTGTGCTAAACTATATGAACTAAAAATTTAGTTTTGAGATATCTTGTAAAATAAGGGTGAGTCAGCAGCACCTTTCCATCTCAGGGCTTCTGAGGCCCTTCAGATTCTCCAGCTGAGAACGGCTGTGTCTGACGGCATCTGTCATCTTTGCATAGGTGAGATCATCGTGTTTGCTAAAGGGCTTAGCGAAACGAGCTATGTGCATGATTAGACTACTCCTGTTAGTCTGACTGGGAAAAGAGGCAGTACAGGAGGCCTGGGTGCAGCTGCAGCCACTGTGGCCTTGCTGCCACGTGACTCCTGGGTGCTGCTGGCTGGGTACCTGCAGCTCCAGCTCAGCTGCTCAGCATCAGCATCAGCATCAGCATCAGCATCAGCATCAGTATCAGCATCAGCATCAGTATCAGCATCAGCATCAGCCCCCTGCCCTTCACTGCACTCCCTGCTGTGTGTCCTGCTCACCTGTGGCTGAGAGGGCCTTTATCCACTTTGCCCTGCATTTTTCTCTCTCTTAGCCTGGCAACAGTCTGTGTTTCTCCTGTCAGAGCCAAGGCAGGTTTTGTTTTTCTGTGCACAACTTCAGCCCTTTGTTTCCAACTTCAACCTCAAAGGCTGCAGTCTGAAGCTCCCCATGTGTTACTGAGAATAATCATTGATCAAGATTCTTGACCAATTTTGATTGATTGGTTTCATTAGTTTTTATTACTATTGTAAGCTTTTCGATAAATACTCACGTAACCATGATTCTACTCCCTTCTGGTGATCCAGAGTTGGATCTATTGCTGTGTTATCTGTACAACATATTTGTGTTTGGAATTTCTTGACTAATAGTATGTTCTGTCAAATTTTGGCTATATTTTTAGTTGCCTAATTTCAGCAAAAGTTAAAGATTGACAACTTTTTCTTTAAATTACACTTCTCAAATACTTTGTGTGCTCATAGGTCAGACCAGATCATTCCTTTTCCCTGAGCTCTTGCTTGATTTCAGTGTCCTGTGTTTTAACTTGAATTCTTGAGTGAAATTCAGAGTTGACGAATTTTCAGTGTCTTAGTATCACTGTGTTTTTATATTTAAAAATATCTGCGACTCCTCTTGAACCAAACTGTAATTTTTAAGGATCTATCCTATTAAATTCTCCATCCGCCCTGCTGCACTTTGAGGACTCCTGTTCCTCAAAGGACCCTCCTGGTACAGGCACACCAGGCTTCATTCACTCGTTATTCTCAAACATCTTAAAATTGCACAGTATTTCAATCCCACAGTTAGACTAGCTTGAATTAGGAAACCACAGGCTCTGCTTTGTTGTCCTGGCCACCTGGTTTGTTAAACTTTGTTTTTGTCTGTTCTAGATAAGGAATGTCTTTGTCTTGGTGTTTTAACCACTGATGCAAAATACAAGAAAATGCATAAAGGTAAACCTAGGATTGAAGGATTAAAGGAGGAGGAAAGTGTCTGAAAATTATTTCCCATCTCATTTTGCATCAAGCAGTGCTTGGCATGACTGAGAGACGTGTCCCACAGCATCTCAGTTCAGAGCGATGGATGGCTGTGGGAGGAACTCCTGGTCCTGCCATACCCTGCTGACATCTCAGGACTGTTATCTTAACAGGGAACAGCAATGTCTTAAATGGTTTTATGAGTAGGGAGTTACATCTGTTTCCATGATCAATTGAAGAACTGACATTTTGGAACTCCAGAGGGAAAGTTGTGTGAGCAAAGCAAAACCAAAGCTTCAGGAGCTGTAAAAAATAATTGTGAGTGGAGGAAATAATGTTTCAACTACACATCTGAATTGTAGCTGCATGACGCTATAGAGACAATTAAAAGAAATGTAACGCTTAGTTTAATGATTTATGAGACAATCAAATTGTAAGGAACAAATTTACAAAAATAGTTGTGCACATCAGCCTAAAAATAATGTAGATGGAAAGGCAAGGACAGTGTACGTCAGTGCTCTGGCAGTGCCATCAGCAGTGAGGGCTGGACTGGCCATGGAGCAAAATTATTTAAGAGCAGTTCAACCAGCTTAATAGATATGTCTAACTTAAAGCATTTCTTGGAGAGGTGCATGATGAAACAAAACTATAGGGGTTTTTTGTTTGTTTTAAATCTGTTTTAACAAAGAAATGCTTTCCCAAAGCTCTGATACTTTGTTTAATTAAAAATACAAATCGTGGTTTGCATGGTATGTGCTGGAGAATTATTGCTGTATATTACAGTAATCTGTTGCAATTATTATTGAAAACCGTATTTAATTTTTAGATTCAGGTGTAAATCAGTGTTATCATGCTGTAATTGAAAAATGGTGCTCACCTTTTTTTCCTGAAGGTATCTGGAAAGGCATTAATTAAAAATGCAATTTATTTTAAAAATACTTTCGCCTGAACTGCTGGTGAAAATTTTATGTTTAGTTATGTAAATCTGTAGGAAAGCCTTGAAAAGTTACATTTTATTTAATCTTATGTGGAGCCTCTGGTTCGTGCTTGTCTGTTTAATAAAGGGTCAGATTTTATTTATGTAGTTAAGTAGAACATAAATGTTGACATTTCACATGATGTACCATGTAAATGTAAGCCTTTGTAGTTACAAGTTTTTGTAGCTGGAGAATTGTTTTAAAAGGCATGTAATTTATTAGCTATCAGTAGCTGCTTTATTGCCTTGCCGCGCTGCAGTAATAAATAAAAGAAAGTGAGCTGATTTTACAAATGGCACACAAGGTGCACATTTTGTGAAAAAAGTCTTTTTTTAAAGAATTGGCATTAAATCCTTTTTTGTGATGACAAAGAGGCTAAGAGTGCAAACTGTATTTTCTGTTTATCGAAAACAGAGTCTCTTTTTCTCGAGGGCATTTTTTCCTATGATCATCAAGGGATTTCAAAAGCAATAAAGTGTGGAATCATTGTTCGACTTGAACAGTATTAAAACTTAGGTTTTAATTTCAGTGAAGTAATAAGATTTGAACCTGTCTCACATTACAGCACTGTAAGGCATTTAGCAATTGTATTTTAAAGGAGGTTTTTAAAATGCAGCTCACTTGAAAGCTAAGTGTCTATTGAGTAATTAATAGTTCCTCTTCAGCACAGGCTGTTGTGAATCATACTAAGAAATCTTGGTTTTGTTAATAACAAATTAAGATAATTGTAAGGAAGTTAATTCCTAATTAGTTTAAACTTACAATCTTTTTTCCCCTTTCTGAGATGGATTTTCAAATGAAGACAAAAAAACAAACAAACAAACAAAAAAGACTGAGGGTTTCAGCATGGTTTTCACCCTAGAATTAAAAAGGAATTATCCATGTTTACCTGTACATTTCAAGAAACTGGATTTCCTGGTTAGCAGCATGTCAGCTTGCCTTTAAGCAGTGGCGAAGTCTTTAATCTTTAACCATACTTTATAGCATTAATGCAATTTCTGTTTCAAAATTGCACATTGAAGATAATTCTGCAGAGCTTCTCTCTTCAGTACTGACATGGAGAGCTCTGGGGTACTGGAAGTCACTGTGCTCGCTTTGGCACACATATTCTCTGGGTTCAGACTAAAAATATTCCTTCAGGCTGGTAGGTAAGATGTGGGCTGGTGAGGGCACAGCCATACCTGTGCCCTGCCGATGGAAATGTGCAGGTGTGGGTTTGGGAGGGGAGCTTGGGGGTTTGGGAGTTTATGCTGGTGCGGGTACTGTGAGCTATGACCTTCTGTGGTGCTTTCGAGCAGCAGCTGCCTCCATCAGCCATCAGGTTTGTTCCTGTGTTTTAGTAGATGGCCTAGACTGTTAATATTAGAGGATCTAAAATAAATCAACATATTATCCTAAGGATACAAAACGTAAGAGCTATTTGTGGCTAGGAGCCCTTGACAGATAGTTTGGCTGAGGCAGATGATTGCCCGCCTCTCGGATCTGGCTCCCATTGCTGTGCCTGCAGGCAGTGTGGGTTATAGTTGTATATTGATGTCAGGGTTACTACTGAGTGGCTAGCAATGACAGATGTCTATAATTAGAGGCAATGCTGCCAGTATTTCAGAGGAGCCGGCCTATGTTGAACAATTATCTTATTTCTGGCTTGCCAAGGAGGGTTGTTCAAATTGCTGGTATTAGCTGTGGTGGCTGTAACACTTCTCCTTATGCCCTGGGATAAATGTGCAAAAACACTGTCATGTACAACCCTGGTGCAAAACCTCTTCAAAAGATGTGATCCTGCTAAATTTCATCTGCTTAAGGCTTGATCTGGAGATGCATAACACCAGCTGCAGTGCTGTTACTCAGTACAGAGCAATAGTTTTGGATACAGAGATTTCAGAGCTGTACTCTGATTTTTAGTCCTTGTTTCTAAGTGCCAAAGTGATGTTGATTCTTGAGCGTTGGTGTTTATTGCACATAGGTGTGCTGAGTTGGCCACTCATATAGATACAATTCAATGTCTGAATAAAATTTAGCTGCACACTTGTAATAGTTACAGGGGCAAGTCAGAGTGTGGGTTACTGCTGTTCAAGTACCTGTAATTCTGGATCTTTTGGAGTGTTCTGACTGGCACAAATGTACACTTGGAACTGTAGAGTAGTGCTTCATTTCAATCACCAAAGATTCTAAACCAGCATTTTGGCTTATTGTTAAGCAAATCCTTGACTGTATACTTTGCTTGTATTTCTGCAGTGCAGTGTATAGCTCTGATGGAAAGTGCACCCCAGAACTATGCTTCAAAAGCTAAGAATCTTCTGGAAGATACTAAAAAAGTAACAGCCGTTAATAGTATTTATGTTTTCACTGTAATCTGTTCTTTAAACCGTGAAGGGGAACAAAAGAGACAGTGGAATTAAACCTGTCCAAAAGTGCTTAACAAAAATGAAAGTCTAAACAAGAATGTTTAAGCTAAGCATCCTTTAACTAATGGCTAACTCAAAACCTAGCACATAAACCCACTTCTCTTTTCTTTTTCCTTGTTTTTCACAGAAAATGTGTCCCAGGCTGCATCAGTAATAAGAGCAGTTAGTTCATAGTAGGTCTCCTGTATAAGTTCTGCAGAATTGTACATCTTTCAAGATTTCCAGAAAACATGGATTCAGAAATGGAGAAATATATAAATAAGTAAATAAAAGCTGAGAGATAGGAATTGAAATAGAGATCAATTTCCATGTAAGAGAACGTTTATTGCTGGCACCGTATGGGCATTTTATAGAGCAGGAAGCAGGGAGTTAATCACTCTGGCACCCCAGACTCCTCTGAATCCTCCAGCTAACAGAGAAGGACTGGGGAACAGGGCCTGGAAAACAGCCTTTGTGGGAACTGTAAATGCCTCTTACTGTCTGAGCTTGTGATGGTAGAGCATTTCAACAGACTAGGAGGGAAATAACATCCATAACAATGAGCCACACGGCATTTACCCTTTCCCCTAAAACAGAACACTTGGTTATAATAACAACTCCTGATTTTTAAATGTTATGTTGTAGTAGGTCTCTTTCAGTTGAGGATAACTTTATGCAGTGTTTTAAGCTAGGCTGAGACGTAAGATAATAAATAGTCTCTATCACTTATGTTATTGGTGTGGGTGCTACACAGGTAGCAGCGGGTGGGAGAGGAGCCTTTGTACAAAGCAACTGGAAGCCCACCTGTCTTTAGAGATCCTGTCTGAATGAACTGAGGCATTTCCTTGTGGCCTGTTTGAAGACTTTCTTCATTTAGAGAGTTTACTCTAATCCAACATATTAGCTCATTCTCTTGCTTTAGGCTCTGAGCTAAGAGTATTTTGAGATGTTACCTTGCTAAGACAGCTGGTTGGGAGTGGAAGTGACCAAGGTTTTCCTCTGCTAAGGAGAGGAAATAAAAGCCAGGGCTTTTGAAGCCCTCAGTTTGATCAGTTTGATCAGGAGATAAAGATAAATGATGTGACACCCTGATAGTCCAATTAGAGGATTCAGTTCCCATTTCCCAAAGCTGTCTGTGGGATGTGGAACTGGATTTCTGCTGTGTTATAATGGAGAATTTAAGTGCTGAAAATTCAAATACCTGAGCATGATTTAAAAGGTAGGGGAAATTACAAAATGTGCTGTGGCACTCGACACCAAGAATGCCCCCTGGAGTTAGTGTGGAGGTTTGGTGGGTGCTGCAGGGGTGTTGGTCAGAGTGGTGGGGGCAGAACCCCATGGCAGTCGCTTTGTTTGGATTCCCAGAAACACCACAGGGACAGACAGCCTTCCCTCCACGTGCTCCATGTGTTCTGCCAGGCTGGGCTAAATGTGCTGCAGGTCTGCTTTTGCCCTCACTACTCATGACAAAATGCTTTAATGTTGCTGTGATAGTTCTCTGCAGCGAGGCCTGGAGAGCTTCAAGGAAGGTATAATATCTTCAGCATTTATGCTCTGCCTACGGGTAATAACTTTCCTGTAATTTTCTGAAGATTCATTATCCAAAATCTTAATTCATTATAATAGCCCTTATGAAAACTGTAGAAACTAACATTTTCTTGTGTTTTCTTATTTGCACAGTGTGAGAGATTCATTGCTCTGTTTTAATTTGTTTCATGGGGTGTGTTTGAGTGCATTCCATACAGTGCTGTTATTGAATTTCTGTGACTGTCATTATAGAGCCATACAACCTTTAGGAACTCATATTCTGAGCTTCCCAGTTCTGTAATCTGCTTCACATTTAAGAATTGATATAATTAACTTCTTCAGAGTTATAATGATAGTGCCAAAAAGAGAAGACCTCCAAAGGCAAAGCAAAGCTAAACATATTTAAGGCCAAAGAGTAGGCAAGACAAGATAATAAAGTTTTGGTGTGATTACTGAATTATTTCTGTTTTCTTGGTCTGTATTCACATGCAGGTATTTTGCTTTATAGAGCATTGCTTCGACAATGATATTTTCTTGTCCTTTTTGAGCAGTTCAAGGAATTGGGAAGTGTGTGTTTATGCTTGAACAACTGATAGCCCAGAGAAGCTGTGGCTGCCCCTGGATCCCTGGCAGTGCCCACGGCCACTTTGGACACTGGCATTTGGAGCAGCCTGGGACAGTGGGAGATGTCCCTGCCCATGGCAGGGATGGAACTGGATGGGCTTTAAAGTTCTTCCAAACCTAATCTTTCTGTGATTCTATAAAACTTCCTGGATAATTAAAAAAACCCCTAGCACCAGAGCTTGTGAATCTGCTGTCTTCCTTCAGGGTCCTGATGCCACCAAGGTGGTTGTAACAGTACAAAGAGGAAAAGAAGGATCCCTGGATCCTTTGCTTTCACACTTGGTTCAGTAGGCTTGAAATTGTTACTGATCAGAATTGAAGGTGTTTTGCTGCTCTGTTCTTTCTATTGCTACCTGGCCACTGTTGTCACTTCTGACCACAGCAGCACCACTGGGACTGAGGGCAGTGGTGCCAGCAGCTCCAGCTTGGATCCAAGAGCCTGGGTGGCTTCCTGGAGCTTTGGAGCTCCTGGAGCATCCTAGCCTAACGTTGCCACTTGTGTAGGTGTTTCCCTCGTGGTCACAAGTGTGTGAAGATGAGCTGGGGATGGTGCTCTCCTGTTAGCTGATGCTGTTGGCCATACGTGTTTCAGTCTCACAACCCTGGATTGACACGGAATTCTCTTCTGAAGTTGTAAATCTTGCAATTATAAGGATCTGGGACTCATTGTGTCACTGTTTTCCAGGAGTCTTGAGCCAAGGGTTTCCTACTGGGCCTTGATTCCCATCTCCTTTCTGGCAGTGTCTGAGGGCAGGGGGAAGCAGAGCAGGGAGCGGTGAAGGGAGAAGCCCCGGGCTGTGCGGCTTCCAGCGCTGCAGCCTCTGCTGCTCCTACCCCCGGGACTCCCTGGAGGAGCCAAGCAGAAGATGAGATCACCTCCACAGCTTCTCCCGACCCCTTTTAGCAGGGTTTCTCACCGCCTTTTGAATATGTAGCCCAGCCTTTGTTGTTGAAGTGTGTTTTATTATTATACGTCCAAAATGCTTTAACATTAATTTTTCATAACGCTTAGAAGTCTAGGGGCATTGCATCGCTGTGGTGGGAGTGGATTACTTTTCTATTTTTATATGCTGAGAGCATGCGTGGGTTTTGAAAATTATTTTGAAGAAGGTTTTCAAAATATCGTATTTATTTTAGCTTACAATTTGCCACGCTATAGATGGGATAGTTTTTATTGCGAGTACTATATTCATGCTGACTTGGAATGACCCTGTCACACGTGAAAACAAATCAGATTGTTGCTGTTAATGAGCTTTTCAATTTACTATTCAGTGGATCAGATAAGTGGATTTAAGAGGTAATGATCCTGCTTAGCACTCAGCCTTGTCTGTCAGATCCTAGTAGTGTGGGAAATCCCCAGGGACAAAAGCGTTGACACAGTTCTTGATGGGATAATGGGAATCAAAGCTAATGGATGATAAAAGGAGTAGTAAGAGTTACAAGGATAATTGTGGATTAAAGCACTGCTCTTTGTCAACACTGACTGCTGTTTTAGTATTTTATTTGTTAAGCTCGGATGTGGGGAGAGCCTAGTTTGACAGCAGAGCACAATGAGCCGGGCGGGCTCCCGCAGCACGGAGGAGGCTCGGAGCACACATGGGTGGCTGCTGATGCCTCTGCATTCCTTGCTTCCAGTTTTTTCCTTGTCGTGATACCAAACACAAGAACTCCTAAACATTGCTAAAATTGCAGCTGCTGTAGCATTTAAAAAGTGTGTTGTTTAGGGAGTGGAATTTTTTTTTTAATTGGAAGGTATTATTTTTATATTTCAATATATTATTTCTGCTATGCCTAATTACTAAAAGCAATAACTTTAGATCTACAGGGTGAACCTAGTATTTTGCAATATTTAAAGATTGCTTTATATAGTACTACTTTTTTCATATTTTGATTGTCCTTTCACTACTGATTTTGCCACCAAAACCTACATTCATACAATTAAAAAAGGATAAATTAGCTTACAAATTAAGTTACCCTTGATTTTGGTACAATTTCTAGTTAGAGCTGCAATTTTACGGACTCATGCCTTTATTAAGCTGGAATTTAAAGTCTTTGGGATGTGAAAATACGGTTTTTGTTGTTATTGTTTTTGTCCTCATTATAAACTGTCTCAGAGGTGGAGCATTGGTGATTTGGTTTTTGAACCAAGAGATTACATCACTGACAGGGGAGGCTGGTGAGTGCAGGTGTGGGTGCAGTGGTACCCGAGTGTCCCAGAGTCAGGGAGGGGGCCGGGATGGGGCTGGGGATGGGGCTGG